GGAGATGGGAAGACTCAGGAAGCATTTCCCAAACAAGAAACAAAAGACCAGCGGGGGAGGACAAGTAAGAGAAATCCTTGAGTTTTGTGCAGTCGGTGAAGGATAGTTTTCTTCCTCCTCATAATCTCTACAGAATGGTCACAGAAATATTCAGAAACATGAAAATGCAAAGCCCTATCAGAGGAAGAGAAAAATGACTGATATGACAAAAATCTCCATTATAGTGTGGAATATTCCATTTTATACAGGTTTCTCCTGAAGGTCGAGCTAAAGGACACAGCCTGCACATAAGTGCCCTGAGTCCAGGGGTAAGGAGAGGAGGGAGACGGAGCTGGGTTAGCTTAGCAACAAGCATATGGAATCCTACAGAACACGAGATGGGGGGCCTCCTGCTTACTCTTTTAGATATAACAACACAATAATTTCCCATAAGCTGCCAGGAGCATTCTGGCTCAGACATAGATGTAGAAACATCTAGACTGGCTGAACCACTTTTCACACTTTTGAGCCCTTCTGGGTATAGTTGTAAACTAAGATCAAATTATACATTTTTGAAAACCCATGCTAATATTCTCATGCCACACTGTCAAACACTCCATGAAAATGTGAAATCAGACAGAAAAGTGAAAAATCAGAAAGCAGGGTAAAAGCTGGGGCACTATTAGACACTTCATCCCCAGCAAGACTACCGCAGCCAAAAGGAGTTGCCTCCAGAATTTTCCTCTGGGCTCTATTATTTTTCCAGCATGTTCCACAATTTTCTCTTACTGTTTATTAATACACGTGTTTATGTGTATAAATTATGCTTATCTTGCTGACTCCTGAGCAAATTCTACACTCTTCAATCTAGAATACCATACTCAACTCCACAAATCCCATGATTTGAAACTCCTACCCCGAACCCAAGCACAGAATAATTCTGGATAAATTCTCATGCTTTGCCTAAGGTTTAGGCTGGAGTAGTTTTAGTAACAAGAGGTCCAAAAAGCAAAAACAAGCAAAGAAGGAACTCTCCTATTGCTTAAACAATACAGGCTTTCCAAGCTGTTACTAACTTGTTTTTTTTTTGTTTGGTCTTGGTCAATACAGAGTCAAAGAATGATGGCAATCTTTTTCGTCTTTGAGATTTAACCACATTAGGGAACAATAAAATATTCGGTGGGCTTCAAACCCCTGTTGTAAAATTTATTTTTTTTCCTTTATCTTAGTCATGTTTGGTTGTTGTTTTAAGTAAATATTGCTTCCCTTTAGTTATAGGAAGAGGACACTTACTTTCTTCTCTCACCAAGATACAGGTTTAGAAATAAGATTCTGAAGAAATCTGTCCCAGGAATCCTTATTTAGAGTCTCGTCTGTTAACTTCAGAGACCCATATGGATGTACATCTTAACAGCAATCCACTTGAATTGCTCTAACTTTTGGTGAACACAGATTCTCCCACAAAAGGCCACAATGGCGAACTGGTTAGATTCGTGACATGAAGAGAAATCTACCCACAATGTCCATATGAGTAATGAAAAGTTAATTACCGGAGAAACCCACCTTTCTGCACTATTAAGTATTATGTATTCCAGGGGAGGAAAGGAAGAAGTTCACCTCCAAATGAAGTTAAGTTTACCTACAATGATGTGGTGAAAAGTGTTTATCAACATAGAAAAATATGATTTTATAATATGAAAGAAAAAAGGCAAGATACAACTTTCATATTGTCGTCTACTCAAATGCTAATTATTTACATATGCATCATTATATTTACTCTCCTTGAACAAAAGAATGTAGAAATTATTGCTCCCCCTCTTTTATGCTTACGTACCTCCTTGTCAGTATAAGAAAATGGTGTAGAAAAAACATACCCTTAAGTGGTATAACTATATGAAAATGCCAGACTGTTGATACAACTTTTTGCTGAGATGGGAGAAAATGGAATAAAGGAGGATGCAAATTAAAAAAAAAAAAAAACTTCCACTTCAAGATAGTAAATGTTGGTTCAAAAATTTTGAAAGAGATAATATCCACATAACAAAAATTATGAGTAAATTGACCTTAGCAAATAACCACACAGCAGCAATGTTTTCTGAGTAACTCAAGAATGAGATTCAAAAGAATGAGTCTTTAGTGGTTGCATCACCTTTGTTTTGGAAATTAATGCTTTCCAGACCTTTTATTATTTTGATTATACATACAGTTAATGCTATTTTTATGGCTCTTTGCCAATCCCTTATTTTTATGAGATTTTGATCTTTCAATTTTGCAGTTAGCTTGGATTACTATATAAAAAAATAGTATAACCCTTACATAGTACTCTGTGTCAGACCCTGTTCTAAATGCTTTTCTTGTGTTAACTCACTTATCCTCAAAACTGTGAAGGTGGTATTATTACTATCCCCGTTTTATAGATGAGAAGACTGAAGCACAGGGAGGCTAAATAATGAACGACATACAGCTGGGAAATTTTAAAAAGACTGGAAGGAACTACACCAAGGTGTTGGTGGTGGTTTCTCAGAGTGCTGGGTTATAAAGGATTGTTAAGAGAGAAGACATGACAAGATCTTGAACTAAGGCCGCTGAACTGGAACAGACAGGACAGACTCCAGAACAATTTAAGAGAAAATACTGGCAGGGCTTGTGGACTGATGGATTTCACGTGTGGTTGAGGGAGGAGGAAGAGTCTAAGAAGACTGGCCTCTGGCTGGGATGAGTGGGTGGACATGTTCACTAGAGCAGGGAATATAAAAGATGGAGCAGGTTTGGGAGAGAAGATGATGTGCTCAGTTTTGACGTGTTGAGCTTTATTGTAAGTATTCAAATATGTAACTTTTAAGCTCAAGAGAGAAGTCAGGTCTGGACTTGAGAGTCTTCACATCCGGCTGATAGTTAAACCCAAGAGAGGCTGCCATAACCCAAGGAGAAAAAAGAAGAAAAAAACTGTGGGCAGGGCCGGCCCTGTGGCTTGGTGGTTAAGTGCGCGCGCTGCGATGCTGGTGGCCCGGGTTCGGATCCCGGGTGCACATCGAGGCACCGCTTCTCCGTTCATCCTGGGGCCGGGTCCCACATGCAGCAGCTGGAAGGACGTGCAGCTACAACATACAACTATCCACTGGGGCTTTGGGGGGAAAAAATAAAAATAAATAAAATCTTAAAAAAAAAAAAAAAAAAACTGTGGGCAAAGGACAGAGCTCTGGAGAACCCCAACTTTATGGGATGTGCAGGGGATAAGATGGCCATTCAGATTTGACGTTAAAATAACAAACATAGATGTGAAATGACGGGTATATATTTGCTTTTCAAGCTACGTTTCCTTTATAAGAGACAAGGTAGCATGGAAGTAGGGCAGGGCAGTCGGACAAGCCTAGGTTCAAATCTAGTGCTTGCCACTTAGTAACTCTGTGACTGTTGTCAAGTCACTAAGTGTCTGTAAAATATGAATGATTAATTACACCACTTATACTGTTGTGGGCATGAAATGGGTTAATCCACCAAAGAACTTATATGAACAGAGTCTAGCATGTAGTATGGACCCAATAAACACTAGATATTATCACTAATGAGTACACAAATCATAAAGTTATTTTCATTCCACTGTCATACTTTGCCAGTTGAGAAAATGGTCAGAAGGTCTGTTGGCTTGCAGGAGTAAACTACTGTGGAATTCAATAGTTGTATGAAAAAGGCACCAAAATAATTCACAGACATTCAAGAACTGGTATTTTCCATGAATTTGTATGGTATAGTGCAAGTAAACACAAGTAATAGTTTGTTAAAAGAATTAACAGGGACTGATAGAAATGTTGGTATATGAGCTACAAGACTGCATTAAAAATTTTCTTTTGTTCTGCTCTAAATATTCAGCAACGAGCCCCAGTGCCAGGCACAGAGTAAGCTGTGAATAAACATGTTAACTGAATGTAACAAAGTGATTTTTTTTTTAATAAGGAGGGGGGATGATTTCTTATTATTGGCCATTAAACATTTCACTATTATCACTCAGGCAAAGAAAAAGATGAAGTAGACATACCCTACGTGTTGTCATTTGACATCTCTCAAGAGTTTGGCTATGCAACTCCTCTCCCCTCAGTATCTGCCGCATATTTGAAATTCCCAGCCTTAAATGTCCTCCTTTGGAATAAGATTTAGAGTCCACAGAAGGGCCCATGAAAATGCAAATATGTCATCTGTAAACGGGAACAACTTGGCTTCTGGCAGACACTGACACATTTATCAGCCCTGCTGTGTGAACAGCTAGCTGCCCCCCGGGGGCCTAGACCTTGGGTGCAGGAAGGGCCGCTTCTGAGCTGGCACGGTGGGGTCTGCCTCGGCCAGCGGCCAGGAGACCGCTGACCACCAGCCTCGCTGCAGCCCCAGGGCAGGTCCAGCAGAGGAACCAGTCAGGACAAAGGCAGCCCAGGGAGGTCCCGTGGTGGGGTGGGACGCCATCATGCCCAGTCCTCTCCGCCCTTCCTAAAACCGGCTAGAACAGTCGCGGCCAGACGTGTGGTGCATAGCGGTGTTCATTCTCATCCCGTCTTCTTCATCAGTGCAACCTCCAGTTCCCTAGCACATGCGGGCTGGGGAGGTGGCCAAATCGAGTTAAAATCTGAAATGTCTCTTGTGTTCTTTTCGGTTCAGCCAGTTTAAATTCCATGCAATCTTTAAGCTGTGGGCTAAGATGTATTATACGAGTCTGTCTGCCTTTTCAAAGGCACTCAACTTATAAATACCATGCTGAGGCCCGGCCGGGAAAACCAGCCCGAGTTAAACGCAGCCAGTAGGCTCCTACTCTACGTCCCGACCTCCGCCCGCTGCGCTGGGCGGCAGCCCCTCCACCCCCGCCGCCGCGCTCTTCCTGCTCTCGGGGTCGGATCCCCCTAGACAACGCCCCCGCGCACCGGGGGAGGGCGGGGCGCTGGGCCGAGGCCGTCACGTCCCCAGCGTCGGGAGGCGGGGCCTCGGCCGTGACGCCATCAAGCCCCGCCCCGCCACCCTGATATCACCGGCTCCGCCCGCCATTTTGTCTCTAGTGTCTGGTTTGCCGTCGACAGCGTGTAAGGAAGTGTCTTGGTCCCTAGGCGTGAGGCAGGGAACAGGGTCTATTGTCTGTATTTGACTCTGTAGTTTGGTCCGAGGCCTTCCAGAACTTTCCTGGGGCAGTGGGCAGAGGCCGCCGTGACCGCCCCCGCCCCTCCCCTCCGTCCCCGGGACCGGGAGGGACCGAGCCCGCGTCACGCCCCTGTGCGCTCGCCGTTCCCTTCTCTGTCGTTGCGTCCGCATCGCTCCCCCGGAATCAGACGGTGCCCCATAGATGGCCAGCTTTCCCCCGAGGGTCAACGAAAAAGAGATCGGTGAGGAACGGGACGGTGGGTGCGGGGTGCTGGGGGGCGCGCGGGGGCTGCGGAGAGGCAGGGACTCCCGGAGGAGGCTGGGGAGGAAGCGTCTCTGAGTCCGAGGGAAGGAGGGGGAGCCGGGGCCAAGCCCTGGAGCGGAGAGGAAGGAAGCGCCCCGCGGGTGGGTGGGTGTCGCCGGGGGTGAGTGGGATCGACGCTGATGCAGCGCCTACTGTGCGCCTGCACGGAGGGGAGTGGTGCGCGGATCTCAGGGTCGACGGGGATCTGGGCGCCCAGTGGCCAGGGCCCCAGTGACCATGAGGCCAGGGCGGAGACGCACCCCTGGGGACCCCAGTTTCCTCATCGAGCTAGTATTCTGGCATTCTCGTGGCTCAGCGGCTGGGGCATCGAGTGGACAGGGGGGTGCTGAGCAAGTCTCAGGGACCCTCAGTTAAGTTTACGATGGGAAGACTAAACTTGTGTGTTCTGAGCTGTAAGGAAAGGAGGGGTCCTCATGGATACCAACCACACTTTAAGGAGAAATGCGACGAAGAGGTGCGATCAGCCTGGAAAAAGCAATATTTTAAAAAATCATACGGCGGTAAGAAAGGCAGCAGTTCGGGGGAGGAGACGCGGCATTATCTTTCCTACACATAGGAGGAGGGAGGAGCAGAGTGGTTGGGTGGAGTGACAGAAGAAAAGCTGTTGTACAGAAGAGCAAACGCGACTCAGTGACTCAGTTGACAGCACCTCGCGCTATTTAAATCCTTTCTTTTAAGGTAAAATAACTGGAACGACTTTTGGGGTAGTTGGGGCTGCTGTGTATTGATTGCTATGCTTAGGAAACATTGAACTTATCAAGTCATCATGTCAGACACCTTAAATATATACAATTTTTACTTAAAAAAATAAAATAGATTTAGGATCCAAAAAAAAAAAAAGACGACAACCCAACACTGAACTTATTACTGTGTTCATTAAATGAAAATTTGAGGTGGCTGCTGAGCAGAGAGTCTTGGCATTTTCCTGTTCTTCAAGTAAATGTGTGCTTTTACTAAATGCATGGAGGAGATATTTCTAGAGAAAGGGAGAAGCTAAAGTAGCCAGAATGCCCTCTATCCTGGAGTGGGTGAATTTTTATATCTGGAGACTGCTATCTTAGAATTCTGGACTTTTGTTCTTGTAGGGATAAGGTTGAATGGCTGGTTAGGGGGGGACTTTAACTCTGGCTTTAATAACTTTTTTAAACATACAGAGAACACAAAGTTCATGTCCAATTTTTATTTTAACTGTACTTGAAGACTAGTAAGTAAGTACTTCCTGAAGTAGAAGGTAGAACTCAAAAGTTCTTATTCTCAGTCCAGTGGGTTTTTGTTTTTCCTACTGCATGTGATATCACAGGTGAGTGATCTGCCTTTCATTTATCTTTGTTTTACTTCATCTTGAATCTTTTTGAAAACTTTCCAGACTTCTCCTTTTTTTTTTTTTTTTGTGAGGAAGATCAGCCCTGAGCTAACATCTATTGCGAATCCTCCTCCTTTTTTTTTTTTTCCCCCTTTTTCTCCCCAAAGCCCCAGTAGATAGTTGTATGTCATAGTTGCACATCCTTCTAGTTGCTGTATGTGGGACATGGCCTCAGCATGGCCGGAGAAGCGGTGTGTCGGTGAGAGTCCGGGATCCGAACCTGGGCCGCCAGTAGCGGAGCCAGCCCTCCAGTCCTCTCTTCTAAGGGATGGATAGAGCTTCTGAGCATGCTTAAGTAAGGTAGAACCATCCAAATAGCCTTTTTATTTTTAATTTTAAAAAATTGTTGCTCGGGCTGGCCCCGTGGCATAGCAGTTAAATGCGCGTGCTCCGCTACTGGCGCCCCGGGTTCGGATCCTGAGCGCACACCCACGCACTGCTTCTCGGGCCATGCTGAGGGCGCGTCCCACATACAGCAACTAGAAGGATGTGCAGCTATGACATACAGCTATCTACTGGGGCTTTGGGGAAAAAAAAAGGAGGAGGATTGGTGATAGATGTTAGCTCAGAGCTGGTCTCCCTCAGCAAAAAAAAAAAGAGGAAGATTAGCATGGATGTTAGCTCAGGGCTGATCTTCCTCACAAAAAAAAAACAAAAACATTTTTGCATATTTAGGTCTCATTGTTATTTCCTGTATGTAGTATAATGTTACTAGCTAAGTGCCAAATATCTATCTAAAGGAACTTGGGCCTTTTCTAGCCTTTTTTTAAACCTCAGTTTTTTGTTTCTTTTTTGGAGTATCATTTGGATACAAAGTTAAACACAGATATCTCTGTGTTTAACAGATACAAAGATAGCTTTGTATCTATCAGAAAGAACGGACTTTTTCCCTTTTTTGGGGTATTAATTATAGGTGTTTGGTTTCTCAAGTACATATTGAAAGAGGAGACGCAAAATTCCATGAATGATTAAAGACATCTAGGTGACAAGGAGTTACTGCCCTGAGCTCCTGCCCTCTTTCACGAGGCACTACCACAGATCCTCCCTTTCTGGTTATGAAATTGCAGGGAGGAATGTGAAGAAGGAGCTAAATCTGGTTTGCTTGGTTCAGCAATGACTCAGATGATGTGTTTCTACTGTACAGGTATTAATAATGTAGCGTTGTATCTTGTGGCTGATTTGCCGAGGGCAGGCAGCTTTTCCCTTATACAAAGGTCATTAAATCATAGGTTTCGTAGGATACTAACATTGAACAGTTGCAGGTAATGTAATAAAAGTTTAACTTATAACAATTTTTTTTCAAAGCACTTCATTTTAAACCTTGTCCTAGTTTATAATATTGTAACCAGTCAGTATTTACATGAGTGCTGAAATCATTTGATAAAAAGGCAGAGATCATTTGAAATGCCTGCTAACGAGCAAGGAAGCACAAGGTACTTATTAGTACAATACTTGTCACAGTATAGCGTCTATTTATTTGGCAGTTTTTAAAATAGTGGCCTCATTTCTTGAATTTCTGTCTAGTCAAGAATTAGCTTATTATTTTGTGGTCTTTTATTTGAACCAGTTTTTTAGTTGTCAATTTATTGCCATCCTCTACGCAAGAGGAGTTTTGTGGTTGTGGCCAAGGTAAAAGAAGAAAAACAGAGTGATCCTAACATACAGACAAAAAAACGAGTCTTCTGTGGGAAAGTTAGTCTTTGCTTATGCTTGTTAAAGGAGAGGTGAGTTCTAGTCTAATTTACCATATGTTCTTGAAGTTGAATGAAAGGCCGGTCCTCTATTTTTTGAGGTGGAAGTTATATAAGTATACTCATCTAGTTTAACAAAGGGCTTTTCTAAGATACTATTTGCATTTTTCAGTTTTCAGTTTTCAAACTTACTTTCCTTATTTGTGACCTTTGATTTTTGTCTCCTAAAATTTATGGATTTTAAAAGATAGATGTGGTTAAATAGAAACCCAAGTTAACAAGATTTAGTCGGGTTGCAAATTCAGGGACCAGGCACATAGGTACCCTAGTGAAATGCCCATATAAGACTGTGGGCTTGGAGGAATGTAAGGAAACCTGGGGCAGCAAGGCCTTTCAGAAATCCTGTATTTAAAAAATCATTCCACAGGCATCTTAGGGTCCCCGTTTTGTGAATTTTATATTAAGAAAGTCATGTTACTGCCAGTGAAGTTAATGTCACCTTCTGCTGTATTGATACAAGCTGGGCAGGGGTGGTTGGGGAGTTCTGCTTTGATTAAACCACATCTGAAGTAATTGCCTTTAGTTCTGGGTGGCACTTTTATGAGGGCTAACTGGAGTTTATCCAGAAAAGTATGATGAAGGTGACGATGGAGAATGGACTTAAAACCATGTAATCTAAGGAATGGTCGAAAGGTCGAGAGATTTTAGCGTGGTGAAAAGATTTAGTTGCTGATGTCACGGCCGTCTTCAATATATGAATGTCATGTGAGAGCAGAATTGGGCTTATTCTCTTAGGCCAAAATCAGGACAGAGTGGGTGGAGTGGCAAGGAGGCAGATTTTAAGTCATCAGGAGGAAAATTTCTGTCCATCTCAGCTGCACCAAAATAGAATAAGCCTTATTAAGCCTTATTAGGTATTCATATTTATGAATATCATAAAAAAATAGGTCTCTGTTTTTGTTTTTTACTTTTTATTTTTTTGTGAGGAAGATCAGCCCTGAGCTAACATCCATGCTAATCCTCCTCTTTTTGCTGAGGAAGACCGGCTCTGAGCTAACATCTATTGCCAATCCTCCTCCTTTTTTTCCCCCCAAAGCCCCAGTAGATAGTTGTATGTCATAGCTGCACATCCTTCTAGTTGCTGTATGTGGAACTCGGCCTCAGCATGGCGGGAGAAGCGGTGCGTCGGTGCGTGCCTGGGATCCGAACCCGGGCTGCCAGTAGCGGAGCGCGCACACTTAACCGCTAAGCCACGGGGCCGGCCCCACAGCATGGCTTGATGAGCGGTGTGTAGGTCCGGGATCTGAACCAGCGAACCCCATGCCGCCAAAGCGGAGCGCGCACACTTAACCACTACACCACCAGGCCAGACCCCAGAACATTCATTTTTTTTAATGAAGTATAGTTGATATAGAACCATTTTATAGTGCTTTCCTTTGAGTAATGATATAATATTGTATTTTATAGTGGTTTATGGTTTTTGAAAACTACAAAACTTAATTTGGAAGATACTGTTGGTCTCTTGCATTTTAAATGTTAGTAATCTGCTGAAAACATAAGGCAATGCAAAAGTCAGATCTTTAGTAATTGCTAGCCCTAATTGATCATTACATTATTATTACTTGACAATTTTTTTTTTAATTGAAACTTTCTAAAAAAGCTCTTGCTTTGGGAAATTTTAGGAAAATCACTTTACCAAAACTTGAAGATACAGTCATCCCTTGGTCTCTGTGGGGGATTGGTCCTTTATATAAAATGGTGTAATACACTGAATACAGTCATCCCTCTGTATTCGTGGTTTTCACATCTGCGGGTATGGAGGGCCGGCTGTAGTAGTTAACTGAGTTATTGTCGTTAAGAGGTCTTTATACCACATATCTTTCCTCAAAGGGTAGAAAATAGAACTCATTATACCTTGTCTGCATAGAAAAGGGAAAAACTCAGTGGAGTTGAGTGAATCCCAAAGTGATAGGAAGGCAGTCTCAAATTCATTCTTAGTTATATATGATATCCTGTGTTTTTATTTTTCCTTTTAGTGAGATCACGTACTATAGGTGAACTTTTAGCTCCAGCAGCTCCTTTCGACAAGAAATGTGGTCGTGAAAATTGGACTGTTGCTTTTGCTCCAGATGGTTCATACTTTGCTTGGTCACAAGGACACCGTACAGTAAAGCTTGTTCTGTGGTCCCAGTGCCTTAGGAACTTGTAAGACTCTTTTCTTTTTTGTATTTTGTATCTGTTTGTAGAATTTACTGTTTTCTCTGTGTGGAGTAATAAGATTTTGATATTTAAGTTTTTCCCTTGTAGGCTGTTATAAATGTGTTTTAATCATTAGCTATTCATTGGAAAATTTGTGGAAAGAATTGTTTGGCCTTATACATTATAGAACACTTTCTCAGATACTTGTGTGTCTTTAAGGTTTTCTGTGTATTAAAAGGCAGATTAATTTGCCTTGTTAGTGTATATATTGTGTTGTGCCAGGGTAGGTGACCTTTGTTACATGACACTTTTTGGATTTCACAACATTTTATTAGATAACAGTGGTGCATAGATCATGTAATTACTTTTTATTTACTGACAGTCCCCTCTGCTTGGGTTTAATTGAGTTTGAATATTTGTTGAAAGTTTTTCCAAAATGTAACATATACTAAATTTAATCTTTCCCTGCTTTTTGTGTCTAGTTGACCTTCATGGTTATATTCATTAATGTCCTTATTGCATATTACTTAAGTCTAGAAAGTTATAGGAAACTACTGATGATTATGGTTTTTTTTAAAAGGTAATTTTCTGGTGTCAGCTTCACAATATCTTAAGTTATTGCGGGTTTTTTTGTGTGTGCTTGTTTATACTTCTTTTAGGTTAATGAAAGGAATCCTAATTGATATGGTGGTTTTGAGGAAAAATTTGAAACAAATAAGTTATAAGTTACTTTATTGTTGAGCTTATTCTCCTTCTCAGCCTATGAGAATTTCTTTTGATCTGAATTTATTCAGTTATGCCCTCGTAGCTAATAGCAACTATTCCCCTTCCCATCTATAGGATTCCTTGGTTATTCAGTATCGCTATAATAATATTGAAGTTATTTTAACAAACATTTATTACTATTTAGTATCCACAGGAGTCCAGAATAATAACTAGATTTCAGTCTGACCTTTTTTCCCCCAGTCTCTTGCATGGCACCAAGAATATCACCAATTCAAGCAGTTTGAGATTGTCAAGACAAAATAGTGATGGTGGTCAGAAAAATAAGCCTCGTGAACATATTATAGACTGTGGTGATATAGTCTGGAGTCTTGCTTTTGGATCTTCAGTTCCAGAAAAACAGAGTCGCTGTGTAAATATAGAATGGCATCGATTCAGATTTGGACAAGATCAGCTCCTCCTTGCCACAGGGTTAAACAATGGGCGTATCAAAATATGGGATGTATATACAGGTATGGAGTCAATAGTTTTAGAAGCAAACCTGCTTATTTTATGCTGCAGAGCATTGCTCATGGGCGTTAAAATATATGATTTGAGGATTTTAACTTAGTGAAAAGCAAGAATTGGTGCTATGAATGTGTCTTTATAATTGGTCTGAATAGTATATTCAGCTCATGGTTTTATTTTAGGAAAATAGAGTTCACACTGTTTGATCACTCTTCAGAGAGTAGTAGAGCTGGAAGGGCATGTCTAAGGAATGTTTAGTTAATTATACTCACAAACTCGTAATTCAGTTTATGCCTCAAACGGCAAGGTGCTTTCTTGTATACTTTTTCAATGATTGATAGCTTAGAGGCTTTCAAGGCAAATCTGGTTTTCAACAATCATTATCTAATCTTTTGAAGGTTTTAATGACATTTTATCTAAAGTTTAACTAGATAGGTTGAGAAGTTAAATTCTTTGGGCAATTAAAAGTAAATGTATTGTTCACTACCTAACTCAGTTTCTGGCTGATAGTATGTACTCAAAAATTTTAAGGACTTTTTAAAATAAGCATTAAAACATATGTACATTAGAACACAACAGTGATACTGACATTGAGTAGGGATGAGTCAGTAAATTTGATTGGATTCTTGAAAAAAATTTAAGGTAAGCACGTAGGTTTTCATAGAAAACAAATCTCTTACAGTATTAGATGAATAAAGTACATTTTTTCACTGAGATTATGTGTGAAAATTTAGGTTGTTGTGGAATAACATGTATCTTTAGGGGAGTTTGATAGTCCATTAGTAATCCAAGGCCTAGGAAAAGAAAAGGAAAAATTTGATTTTATATTTTAAAATCATACTATACAAAGATTAAAAAATGATGTCATTTTTCTTGATATTAACTTGATCCAGGCTTTGCTTACATTTCAGAAATTCCATTTTAATTTTTCTAATAAATTTAGGCTTTGCTATCCTGGAAATAATCCATTTTAAAACAATGTAAATAGTGAATCTGTAAAGGTAATAATAAAAGCACTAATAAACACTTGGTAAACTAAGGAAGTGTCCAAGTATTTCTACTCTCTTTTTTTAATGATGAGGGACCTTATTTTTTAAAAATTGAAGCTGATAAAAATTATTAACATTGTCTTTTTTCCTCCCTTCCGTTGCATTTAGGAAAACTCCTCCTTAACTTGGTAGATCATACTGAAGTGGTCAGAGATTTAACTTTTGCTCCAGATGGGAGCTTGATCCTAGTGTCAGCTTCAAGAGACAAAACTCTGAGAGTGTGGGACCTGAAGGATGATGGTATGTCTTTTTTCCAGGCTGTGAAATAGAATTGGTTTTTTGATATTACTACTGAGAAGTATTGGGATCATCTGGGGCATTTTATTTTAAAGGGGGCATATGATCAATTTCCTTTTCTCTGCTTAATCCCTTGGTCCCTTTTCTTGTATAGATCAAACAAAACCATAAATGTGACCCAGAAAAGGAGCCAGCTGTTACTCTAAGTAAACAATCGGATATTATTCAGAAACTAACCCCACAGATCTGTATCAACTATTTGAGGAGAAAGTCTGGATCAGTTTTAGGGTTTACATGAACTGGTCTGTGTTAATTTCCTATATCCTAGGGAGGCTTATTAACCTTCATTTGCTTAGTGAAAATTTAAGTAGATTTTGAAGTAACAAATGGATAACTTTGTAATCTATAAAATTTAGATTAAAACGTGATTTATACACCAGAATTTAGCATGTAAATACTAATAAGCATAATAATAAGTTGAGTAGATTAAGAAATTATTTTGTAAAAAGTAAAAGATTTGCCCTCCAATATAATAGAAAGGTAGGTCAGTGTCAAGTATTTAGGTTTTTCTGAAATCTTGATAATTGTGATGCTTAAAAAGTTTTGGAGAGTCTCCCTTGTTTGAGAGGACCAGAGATGAGCATCTTCTCCCCCTTCTTAGCCTCTAATGACAGAATTTTTAAAACCTTATGTTTAAATAAGATCTGCTGGTGCTCTAACAGCCTCAAGCTTGGAGGTTGACAGGCTTGCTTAGCTTAAATTGAATGTAGTAGGAAACAAAACCCTCAGGTGTGGGGACTTGTTCCAGGTGATGGATAGTAACCATTGGCTGGTAAATAGTATGCTGGTATTACCAAACCATGAGGTATCTCCTCTACATTTTATCAGTTCTGACTGCTCAGCTGGTGAGGGGTGAAGGGATCCCAGCAGTTAAAACAGTTTGATTTTTATTTCCTTTTGCATATCGAATGGTGCTTGCTTGTCTCAGCATATTTTCAGTTGTGTGCATATGTTTTAAGAATGTAGACTCGGTAAAATGTAAGCTCCAAGAGAGTAGGGATTTTCTTTTATTCACAGCTGTATCCTCAGTGCCTGGCATCTAGTAGGCATTCAGTAAGTATTTGTAAAACTGAGTTTAAATATACTTAAGCATAATTGTGTGCTTTGGGTTGAATGCACAGGGGTTTTGGAGTGGAATGCAGGTTACCAAAAAGGAAGGAGGATGAAAAGCCATCTTGAAGATGTTCATCAAGTCTCAACCTTGTGGCGTTTTAGTTGCTTCATTGTAGAATTAAAGGAATTAGACTAAAAGAATTCTATCTTCTATAGATGAAGGGTCAGCAGACTTTTTCTTAAAGGGCCAGATGGTAAATATTTTAGGCCTGTGGACCATGCTGTTTCTGCCCGAGTTACTCTGCCGTTGTAGCACAGCATAAACAAATGGGCCTGATTGTGTTCCAATAAAACTTGAGTTACAAAAATAAGCAGTTGGTGTATATTGCTAACCCTTGTTATAGATAAATCACTGCTACTGTAGAGGTTTGTGATTCTGTGATTCTGCCATTTTTGAAATGCCACTCATTTGAAGTGGATTCTAGGATTAACACAGTTATTTCTTTTTGTTCAGGAAACATGATGAAAGTATTGAGGGGCCATCAGAACTGGGTGTACAGCTGTGCATTCTCTCCTGACTCTTCTCTGCTGTGTTCAGTGGGAGCCAGTAAAGCAGTATGTGTCAGAGTTCTTGTACATTCATTGTGAATTGGATTATAATGTGTGCATAATCATTTTAAATCTAAGTAACCTATTAAGTCTGTGCTCGGTGTCATGAATATCTTAAATGTTTTATTTCATGATGGGGGATAATTTGCATGAGGGAACTTAAATATAGTCGTTGATTGTGCAGTGAGAAATTGGATTGCTTTTAGTTAGAGGTAATATTCATAAATTAAGGGGTATGTCTAATTTATTTGTTCTAAGATCTAGGAAACTATGTGCTATAAAAGAGATCTAGTCCAAATGTTAAGACATTCCCTTGCTAATTATTTTCTTCTCTGTTGTTCTATTTTTTTGTCCAGTTTGCTGTTTAAAAGTTTTGAGTCCCAGCTGGTCCTGGACATTTAACTGAAAAAAAGTAACTTAAAAATTAATAAGAATAAAAATAGCATGTCCTAGAGTGAATTATAGATGAAATTTGATAAGGTCTGTCTCGCATAGCATAACTGTAGACAGATAAGGTATAAAGTGACTCTTAAGAGGGTTGTGCTTATTGATGAACTCTCTTGACGTTGTCTGCCAGCTCTGAGTTAGTATAGTTAAAGAGCTCCTGTTAGTTTCTGGTATTTATGAAAATAGTTGAAGTCCATACATGTGATAATCACAATACACTTTGAATTAATAGGGGGTGGGAGGCTGGTTAAAATGCATTTTATTTAGCCAAGAAGTATGTTAAAATGATAGTTGCAAATGTTGGAAGTTTAGAATAAAGTATTCAGTTTACTTCTTTAAAAATCATAAGAAGAACAAAGCTAGATGTTGACATTGCTATTTTAGGCTGTGTGTTTTCCATATGCTTCTTGCTTTCCCTGTCACAGGTGGTGGCAGCAATATTGGTGTGATTGAGGTTATGCTGGCACCACTCGCACACAGGCGCACAATGGTGTTAGCTGGGCAGAAAGAGTGGCATCTCTGGCTACCGGGCTGGGGGCGACCTTTACCATAGGATGAAGTAACCTTGCATTCGGCTGCAAGGTGTACTGTACGTACACAGGTGCTGGTCGATGTCCACTTTCTGCTTTTCTTTCTTTCTTTTTTTCTTTTTTAAGATAAGTTCCCCCACAGTGAAACCTACTGACTCCTCTGAGTAAATTGATCTTCCAGTGTGATGGAATTGGGAGTCTGACATGTGAAACCAATTTAATGTAATGTAATTGGCTTTCAGATGGTTTCTCTGTGCTATTTTTTGGAATTCTTTGAGATGCTAGAGATACCTTAAGTCTTTGATCCAATTTAAAATTTGTATTTATTTTTCTTTGGAAATAATATATTGTGTCTGTGCAGAAAATAAGTAGCAAAAAGGATTGCTTTACTCCAAGAGCAGGAGTTTATTAGGATTGTTATAAACCTCCAAGCTCACATTTAATATAACAGACTGAAGTAAACATTAGAATCCTATTTAGAGCCATTCTGCACAGTCTAACTACTGATTTTTAGACTCTAAAACTGTATGTGAATTTGTACTAAAGTAATTTAAATGTTTTATACTTAAAATGACTAATGATTGTGGTCAGTTTGGGAAAAGTAAGATTGGCAAATCTTGATTCACAGAAATGTTGTTAATTGTATTATTTTCGTAAATTAGCATTTTCATTTTGTAATGTGGTTTAACATCCTTGTTGTTTGCCAAAGAAATTTCATTTGGCTGTGAAAATTCTCTTTGCTTGCAGTATCTGTTTCTCTTCCTAGGCTCACGTTGGTGACCCAAGCCTATTGTAAACAAGTGATTATCTCAAAGGGAGATGCCAATGGAGTAACAATTTGTTAACCTTACATTTTCTGTCTGTATATTTTTAAAAAATTTTGGTAGTTTCTGGAAGAAAAAAAAGAAGGGGGTTTGTAGTACTTAACCCTATTTATTTCTGTATATTTTAATTAATTAGTTTTTGGAATAAATGGATTCAGTATAACTTTGTGGTTAAATTGCATTGCCTTTTTTATGTTTAGGCTTATTTTTTAATTAACATTTAACAGAAACATTTGAAATAGAATTTGCATGTCTACTTTAATTAACTTAAAGATTGATTTTAATCTATGACACTGAGCATATTCTTTTAATTATTCGTAATTTATAATGTTTAATTTAATATAATCTTAATTAAATTTAGCAGTTTTAGTTTAAAATGTGCCATTTTTGTCCTCTGTGTGTCTGAATGAAACTATAACATTTGCCTTTTTATTACAGGTTTTCCTTTGGAATATGGATAAATATACCATGATCCGGAAACTAGAAGGACATCACCATGATGTTGTAGCTTGTGACTTTTCTCCTGATGGAGCATTACTGGCTACTGCATCTTATGATACTCGAGTATATATCTGGGATCCACATACAGGAGACATTCTGATGGAATTTGGGTGGGTACAGCATGAATTATTTTAGTCTGTAATTCATCTCTGGTTGTCAGATGAAGTTGTCTAGCTTTTAAGAAGTTACATGAATCAGGAGACTCATTAACATGTGAAACCTAAAATTTCAGTCTATCATAATTTAAAATTTTGGTGTTATTTAAGCCCTTGAATAATGCAAAGCTTTAGGTATAAATTCTTTTTTTTGTGTGTGAGGGAGATCAACCCTGAGCTAACATCCATGCTAATCCTCCTCTTTTTGCTGAGGAAGACCGGCTCTGAGCTAACATCTATTGCCAATCCTCCTCCTTGTCCCCAAAGCCCCAGTAGATAGTTGTATGTCATAGTTGCACATCCTTCTAGTTGCTGTATGTGGGACGCGGCCTCAGCATGGCCGGAGAAGCGGTACGTCGGTGCGCGCCTGGCATCCAAACCCAGGCCGCCAGTAGCAGAGCGCGAGCGCTTAACTGCTAAGCCACCGGGCCGGCCCTAGATATAAATTCTAAAGATAAATTTGATTCTCTTGATACAGATCTTATTTAATCAGTACATGATTCTGTGGAAGTGGTAATTATATTTAGAGTTTCATGTTGGGGGAAAAATAGTTAAAACTAAAGTTAGACTTAATCTTAGTGTCTTAAACCACATTGTAAAAAGGAGATTAGTAATTCTTTTAAGGTCTCTTTTGTTTAATTTGGGTATATCAGCTCTGCTCAGTCTTCTCAGTTATGTTTGTTAAGACCACTTTAAACATTATTCAAAAACAGATGTACTTTGTACCTGGATAGTTTTGTTTCTTGAAGTGACTCTCATTTCCACTGAAAATGTGTATTTGACCTCAGGCACCTGTTTCCCCCACCTACTCCAATATTTGCTGGAGGAGCAAATGACCGATGGGTACGATCTGTATCTTTTAGTCACGATGGACTGCATATTGCAAGCCTTGCTGATGATAAGTAAGTGTGTGAATTACAGCTTGACCTATTTATAATTGTCTTTTAAAGATTTCCTTTCATCCTTCAACTTAATGAAAACATTCTTAAGGCTGAAAAAAAAAGCCTTTCTGCAGTTTGGGTTTTACTGTCTCTTTCTCTAGACAAGACCTTGGGAGATGTTGATATATCTTAAAGAATATTGGCCTGAACAGTATCCATGTAAACTAAAGATAATACATGCCTTTTCCTGTGTTCCTTTTTAGGCAAACTGGGTAGATTTTTATTTAGCTTTTAGCTCAGCTCACAGATTTTTTTTTTCAGTAATATAAAGGTTGAAGCAGAAGGACATTTTCAAAGTGAAAAATAAATGGTACAAACAGTAATTTGTATCCACTGCAATAGAGACTAGAAGATGAAATGTCACAGAAGTGAGATAGCTGCTTACTGGTAAGAAGCAGAAACTGGGTGTAACCATTCCATTTTCTCATGCTCGTACCCTACAGTGCACATGCATATAACATTGAGCAGTTTGGTCACATCAGTTTAGAAAGTGACTCATTATCATCTTTCCAGAATGTTAGCAGATGTATAAGGAGAGTTCTTTTTTATTTGCCAGCAATCATTGTTTTCTTGTTTGCTGAGGTAAATTCTGAATATCAGTTCTCTGCTGTTCCTAGACGCACTCTATCTAGATGAAAAGGCTTATAAATGTCCTGGAAAGACAGTAAAACAGATCAGATGCTGATTGTGTTTTAAGTGTAAGAAAGTAAGAAGAAAGCTTCCAGTTGTGAGCATTGTAGATCTGAACACTGGGAAGGGAAGGCAGCCATGTATTATAATCTCTTAAGTGTGAGTTGATCCAAATTACCAATTGGTGTAGACTATAAAATATTTTATAAGACAAGTTTACAGTAATCGCTTGCTGCAGTGATTTGTGTGTATGTGTATTTTGTGACTCAGAACAGAGTGGCATTTCTTCCTGAATTTTAAAAGTTGCTTTTACCTTAAATTTCCTAATGGAAACTCACTGGACAATTTATTTCCTTTCCAGAATGGTGAGGTTCTGGAGAATTGATGAGGATTATCCTGTGCAAGTTGCACCTTTGAGCAATGGTCTTTGCTGTGCCTTTTCTACTGATGGCAGTGTTTTAGCTGCTGGGTAAAGCAATTTTTCTGTTTTCTTTGAGACGCAATTTAAAGTAGCTTTTAGTCAAAGCAGGCAGTATTTTATTGTCAATAAACCTTCCATAAGGGCTGTTTATAATACTGGAGATTGTTGGTTAACCGTCTCCTTAATTAGGTTTTAATTTTAATTTGACGCTAAATACACAGCCTTAGGTGATAGTTGTTTGAGCTATAGGATGTTGAAATACATGTACTTGGGTGACTGAACTTATGATTTTTTTTCTTTCTGTTTAGGACACATGATGGAAGTGTATATTTTTGGGCCACTCCAAGGCAAGTCCCTAGCCTTCAACATTTGTGTCGCATGTCAATCCGGAGAGTGATGCCCACCCAAGAAGTCCAGGAGCTGCCAATTCCTTCCAAAGTTTTGGAGTTTCTCTCCTATCGTATTTAGAGGATTCTGCCTTCCCTAGTAGTAGGGACTGAGATAACACACTTTACACAAACCTCAAGCTTTACTGACTTCAAGTATCTGTTTTTCAAGGTTTAAAAGATTTATTTAATTTGATACGTTCTTGTACTGCATTTTGATCAGTTGAGCTTTTAAAATATTATTTATAGACTATAGGAGAAATATTTCTGAACATGCGAAATGTACATTTTTTCCTAAAATTTAACTGTGAAAACATACATACCTGTATATATATTTAGATATAAGCTGCTGTGTGTTAAATGGACCCTTCCTTTGCTTTTCTAATTTTTAGTGCTGACATGTATATATTGCTTCAGTAGAGCCACCATCTGTATCTTCGCTGTAAAGAGGAAGGAGCTTTTTTTATTCTGGGACCCAGAGTTAGATGGTAGATGTTGCCTGAAGAGGGCTGAATTGCCTCACGCAAGATGTGCGTTTGATTGGGAGGCTCAGATAGCTGACCTGCAAGTAAAACACAGTTTTTGTGTAGGGAAGGGATTTTGTTTTCCTTAGAAATGGCATCCGAGAGGTAGAGTTTGAATGTGACATTATTAAATAAAATACAGAGCCAGGATATAACTAGAAAAAGTGTGTCTTTTTTTTTTTCCTGACTTCTGCTGCGGGCCTTAGTTTTGGAAAGCAGCGGGCTACTTTAACCCCTGTGGCATAAAGTATTATAAATTTTAGTCAATTTGGAAAATCCATCTACTGTATTATTGCTAAATATTTTGTTGTTTGTACTAAGGGACAGTTATTTTAAGACCATGGTTTTTTTGCTTGCATTTTTTTTTTTTTTTTTTTTTTTTTTTTTTTTGTATCCTGTGTTTCTGTAGGGGATAATATTAGTGACTTGCCAAAGAGAAGCAATACAGTATATCTGCCTTTGCCTTCTGTTATTTATCTTATCTGCAGATATTAAGAATGTATGCATTATGTAAAATGCTTGATTATATATTTTTGTTGGATTTTTTAATTAAAGACTTGTAAAAAACCACTGTCGCAAGTGTTTCTTAAATATGTCGGAAGGTTTAATGCTTTTTGTCTATCTCCGTGTAAGATTGATGGAGCACCACAGGCAGATTAAGCGAGAAGGGTAATGAAGAAATAGTGCAAGTACAGGACACTGCGTTAGAGCTAATGCTTCATGAACGCAACAGCTTTTACATTGGTTTGTTCTCGGAGAACTGTTGCACTAATGCTTACTTGAAATCATAGAAAAGCTCTAGAACAAAGGAAAGTAACCACTGAGCAAAAGAAAAATATGACGTGGGGCTGGCCCAGTGGCACAGCGGTTAAGTGCGCGTGCTCCACTTTGGTGGCCTGGGGTTCTCAGGTTCGGATCCCGGGTGTGCACTGACACACCGCCTGTCAGGCCATGCTGTGGATGCGTCCCATACAAAGTAGAGGAACATGGGCATGAATGTTAGCCCGGGGCCAATTTTCCTCAGCAAAAAAGAGGAGGATTGGCATTGGATATTAGCTCAGGGCTAGTTTTCCTCACACACACACACACACACACAAAAACAGAAAAATATGATCTTTTAGGGGAGCCAACAGGCTTAGAGTAAACCTATCTGGTTAAAGTAGCCATAGGAAAAATGTAGTGACGTGGGCCCTCTGAGGAGGCAAAACAAACAAAACTTGTATTAGCCACATGCTTTCGAAGACCTGTTTCCACTGAGAAATCATTTGGAAGTTCTTCCAGTTGGCTCTTTTAAGGGTGTATATAGGTATAGGTTATAAATTTGAAAGCCAGTGGAAAACCTGCCAAAGTTACTTCTTGAGAATCACTTTATTTTATAAAAAGCACAACAGCATCCTATCTTGAACACTGTTGTGATTTCTTTTTTGCATTTTACTTTGTAATATATCTGCTTTATAATTTTAAAATGATACGATGCCTTTACTTACTCTTGAACCATTAAATTATTTTACTCTCCGGCTGACATATCCAACCAAGTAAAAATGACATTTTTGGAAGATATATTCTCTAAGAAGGCAGCATTGCTTGCTGCCTCTTCCCGTGAAAACCACAGTGCCAAGATAGAAGGAAGGTTGCAGAATATAAGTCAAGTAGAAACACTTAAAATTTCCATTTGTCTATCAGGAAGAAGGTAATCACAGGATGATAATACTTGAGACTGACTAAAGGAAGGTAGAGAAGATGTGGTTGGGATTGACATGGCTCAGATTCTAGCTACATGATTTTAAAATGATGCTGCTTTCTGTCTTTTTTGTGTGTGTGTGTGAGGAAGATCAGCCCTGAGCTAACATCCATGCTCATCCTCCTTTTTGCTGGAGAAGACCGGCTCTGAGCTAACATCTATCGCCAATCCTCCTTCCCCCCCCCACCCCCCAAAGCCCCAGTAGATAGTTGTATGTCATAGTTGCACATCCTTCAAGTTGCTGTATGTGGGATGCGGCCTCAGCATGGCCGGAGAAGCGGTGCGTGGGTGCACGCCCGGGATCCGAACCCGGGCCTCCAGTAGCAGAGTGCGAGCACTTAACTGCTAAGCCGCGGGTGGGCCCTGTTTTCTGTCTTCTTGCCACAAGCATGTCGTTTGGAGAACTGGCAAGAGATCATTTCTTTTTTTTTTTTATTTGTGAGGAAGATCAGCCCTGAGCTACCATCTGCCAATCCTGCTCTTTTTGCTGAGGAAGACTGGCCGTGGGCTAACATCTGTGCCCATTTTCCTCCACTTTATGTGGGATGCTGCCATAGCATGGCTTGACAAGCAGTGCATCGGTGCGTGCCCGGGATCCGAACCAGCGAACCCCAGGCTGCCGCAGCAGAGTGCGCGCACTTAACCGCTTGTGCCACCTGGCCGGCCCAAGAGATCGTTTCTGTCGAGATCTGATTTCCTATTTTAGTACCCCATAGAGTTCATGTGAACATAGGAAAATGCCTCACCCTCAGCAGCCAAGCTATCTTGTCACAATTTCCAATAATTTAGTGATTTCAAATGACTTCAAGACCTGTAACTTGATTTTACGTTGGCAAATCTTAAATTTATGATCCTTGAAATCCCCTGCCTGCTTGTGATGGAGGTAAGGTTGGATTCAACTGGTTTGCACTGCCCTCAGGGCTGCAAGACCAAAAAAGTCTGGACTATACTGTTGTGCCTGTGGGCTGAGGCAGTGGCTGATGAGTGCAGAGGACTTGGCTGTCAGCCAGCCGGCACAAGGACAAGAAAATACAGAGTATGAGAAGTAAAACATTGTCTCACAAGCCAGAAACCAGAGGCAGTGAATCTAACCTCCAGATGAATCAGACTGAAGATTTGTGGGTGACAAACATTTTGTCCAATAATTCTGACTAGGTTCTGGCCTAAGACAATGCATTTTTAACTATAGAATGTATAAATTATAAAACAATATCTATAGTAAAGTTATATATGGGTTTACTATTGGATGCCAGTTTCAAAATCATGGATAAAGCACCAATTAGAGAATACTGGTTTTTGTTTTTAAATCCATTCCCCTCAGAAGCGAACAATAAAGTGCAACCTGGAGAAATGGTCTTCATAACCTTGGCTTATGTTTATGGTGAAATGTTGGGAGGAATGAAGATTAGCAGGCAGTCTCAACCTGCCCTTCACTCTGTAAAGCTTGCCTTTAGCCCCAAAGCAAAACATCTGATCTGAATCAGGTGTAAAGAGACCTACTTATATTACAGTTGGATAGCTTTGTGTGGTTATGATTTGGCATTTATACGGGTTTATTTTAACAGTTGAGGAATCAGAAAAAAAGATTGAATGAGGCTAAGATTGGGGAAAGAAAAACTATTTAATTCAATTTTGATTAACTCCAGCATTATTTCCCCTGTTAGAGACTCCAACTGTGATTATCCTTGTGGCTTCTCTTTTGAGATAATGATAGAAATCCAGGAACTTTCTCGACCCATAATACCACAGAGAAGTTGCTCTTCTAGTCTGAAAACCCTAGGTTTTGTTTAGGAAAACCTATAATACAATGATGATGGAAATGTTTCTTTGTGTTGTTTTAAATGAGCTGAAGCACTAACGGCTTTTTAAAAAAATTGTTCTCCAAAAGTAAAGTGTGAACCATAGAAATCATCTAGTGTTGGTCAGGAAATAAGGGAGATGAAATGACTGGCAATGAAGACAGACGAAGTCAAGACTCCAATAAGTTTTGCGCATATGTTTCCCAATTTTTGATTAACAATAAAATATTCTTACAGATAAAAAAAGAATAAGGATGATGAATATTAAAAGATACCTGAGAAAACGATACAAAATAGAGCCAGGAATGAAGCGAATGTAAAATGGAAACCATAAAAACATGACATTTGCACTAAGTGAGCCGAATATTTGGCTGTAAACTAACGCAAAATGGGAAGCCCACCCAGTAAGTCATGTGATTCAGTATCCGTCCCATAGCAATTGTGAGGAGAAGCAGAGTTACAGCTTACTATAGGACCAGCAGGAATGCCTCCTTAAACCTTAAACAGACGGAAGGTCTGTTCACGCACACAGATATCCATTTCTTCATATTCCTCAACCATCTCCCCACCACTAAGACTCCTAGGATGATTTGGCAGGAATTACATAGGTTTCAAGTTCTGTCTTGAATGATACCGTTTGAGCTTAGAAGAGAAAGCAACTGTGGGCCAACTGTGTTGCAAGGATCTACAGTCCCTAAGTCAAAGGTTGTCCCCACCATCCCTGATTTTGTGACTCAAGCCTGTTTCATTTGTTTTACTCAGTTTTACAACATGCCCAAATCTTGTAGATATTTGAGTTTATGACCTAGATGGCCTCTTTTTGGTGGTCACAGATAAGCTGCCCCAGCCCAAAGTGGTCTTGCCTCTTTATTTCTTGAATTCCATAAGTCTTAATTTCCACGCCCCTTCCTTGGCCTTTCAGATATGTTGCTAGTTACTCCTCCTTAGGGGTTGGTGCCTCATTTAGAAGGCAAATGCCTGTCACCCGGCGGGCGGTTCTCAGCTTTCTCTCACTAGCCTCTGCCTATGGCTGGCATTTGGGTCACAGTGACTGATGGTTAGAGCTATGGAGGGATGAGAGACTGGCCCCTGGTCAGCAGGCATGGAAGTACCCCTGGGTTGGGGAGTTTGGAAGAGAGGCCCAGTGCCAGCCCATCCAGCTTGTGCTGGGGGCAGAAAGCAGCTCCCTCAGGCTGTCTGGGTCACGCAGCTTGACACCTGGCAAAGACCCAGCCTTCTAGGCTTGGCCCCATCTGGCCTTAGATCAGGAGGATGTTCATATAGTAGGTTGGCCCAGTTTCTTGCCCCAGGGCCTGCTGCCCAGAGGACTTTGCAGAAGTGCTGGTTGATGCTGCAGTCCCAGGAAAGACCTGGGTGATTGCTGGCTTGGCCGCTTAACAGCATGTAACTTTGAAGCTTTGATATAAAAGAATGCTATAAGACTGCCTCCCCTCCATGAGTAGCGTTTAGCTTTTATTTCATATCTGCACAGTGTCAGGTACATGGTAAGCATTCGACATTCGTTACTACCATTTGTTGAGCACTGGCCGTGTGCTCATTGCTATTCCTGGTGGTTCCCAACAACTTTGAAATATTGTTATCCCCATTTTATAGCTGTGGTGATTCAGGGGGACCAACTCACTCCTCAAGGTCATACAGCTAAGAAATGACATCCAGGATTTAAATTCTGGTTACTCTGTCTCCATAAAGGCCGTGGATAGGCTCTATACT